CTCCTCCCCCACCCTCCCACCAACCCTCCTAAATACCTACACCATCCCCCTCTGCTCTTCAGGGAGGGTGAGGCCCTCCGCTGGGAAACTCCAAAGTCTGCCATATCATCCTAGGCAGGGCCTAGGCCCTCCCCTATGTGTCTAGACTGAGGGAGCATCCCTCCATGTTGAATGGGTTCCCAAACTCCATTTGTGTGCAGGGATAAATATTGGTCTACCACCCAAGGCCCCATAGATTGCTGAGGTCTCCTCACTGACACCCACGCTTAGGGCGTCTAGATCAGTCTCATGCTGGCCTCTCAGCCATCAGTCTGGAGTCCCTGAGCTCTCCCTTGTTCAGGTCAGCTGTTTCTGTGGGTTTCACCAGCCAGGTCTTGACAAGATGGGAGATACCATAATGGAGGGAGCCATTGTAGGTTTAAAGAGAAATCTGGCACTAGGGAGATTTCCAGAGATCTACAAGGATGACACCAACTGGGAATCTAAGCAATAGTGGAGAGGCTGCCTTAAATACCCTTTCTCAATAATGAGATTGATGACTACCGTATATGCCATCCTAGAGCCTTCATCCAGTGGCTGATGGAAGCAGAGGCAGACACCCACAGCTAAACACTGAACTGAACTCCTGGAACCCAGTTGCAGAGAGGGAGGAGTGAAGACGTTTTATTTTTAACAGTGTATATATGTGTTGGTATGAGTATAAATGCATGTGGAGGCCAGAATATAGCATCTGATGTTACAGGTAGTTACAAGCTTCCCAACTTGATTTCTCTGCAAGAGCAGTATCAGCTCTTAACTGTGGTGCCATCACTCCAGCCCCTTGAACAGTATTTCTTTCCCATATCTTGAATAATACACACAATTTTAGTAATGACACACTGACAGTTGGTGTTAATTTCATTGTCAACTTGGGTTAATAGAAACCTCTTAGGTAACACAGTTCTGATCATTTGAATATATTTCAAAGTAGGATGATCTGAAAAAAAGGAAAAATAAAGAGGACCCATCCTGAACATGGATGGCAGAGTACCTTTGACTAGAGATCTTGACTGAATGAAAGAGGGAAGAAGAGAGAGCCAGCTGAGTTAAAGCAGTCTTAGTTCCCAGCTTCTGGCCTCAATGATACTAGCAAAAAGCTCACATCTGTCTCATTTCTACAAGCTTTTTCTGCCACCATGACTGTCCTGCTTAGATAGACTGAGCCCTAAACTATGACCAAAATATAAAGCCCTTCTCAATTCACCCACTTTTTGTCAAGTCACTGTAACAAGAAAAATAACTGCACTGGTCAGGATTCTCTAGGGGAATGGAGCTGACCTAGGGGATATGTGTTATAGAGGAGGTTTTACTAGCTTGGTTTCCATAATAGGATCTAGTTGTCCAACAATGTCTGTGTGCACTGCAGACACACAGAAGCTATCTAAAGAGGCAGAAGCTAGTACTAAAGGCCAAGAGGATTCCTGGAGAACCATGATCTAGACCAAGGAAACTGGTCCTGAAGACAGAAAAGGATGTCTGTGGCAGACACAGAAGACTACAGTCACCAGAACCAAGGCAGAGGAGTAGGCATCAGTTTTCTTCCTGAAATCCCTTACATCTGGATCACCCCCAAGATGATGCTGCCCACTCTAGAGGAAGGGCTTTCCTTGGTTAATCTTTTCTAGAAGTACCAGCAAAGACCCAGAGGAATATCTCTCAGTTGATTTCATATCCAGTCAAGTTGTTAACCCTGATAAACTGCCAGAGCGCCCACAGGAGTATGCTGTCATGTTGTGATCATGTGTCCAGAATCCCATGTGATGGATTCTCCCTCTGCAGGCACTACCTTTGGAATGAAGCTCAGCCTGGAAATTTCGGAAGCACCCACCACATTGACCTTTCCTCCATATTTATGTCAGCAGCCAGATCAGCTTTTCGAGTGCAGCCTTGCAATGTCACTGACTGGGAACCACTGTTCTCAATTCTATGACAAAATACCTCACAGAAGAAGATTATGGGAAGAATTTATCTTGGCTCCATATTTCAGGAGGTTGAATGACCATCATGGAATCTAAGGCATAGTAGTGGAAAGAAAATATTCCATTCCAGTTGGATTGGGTGTCTGGTCACACAGAGTCAGCCAACAGGACACAGAAGGTGAGCAGAGGAGTTTACAGTGGTCTCTATTGGCCAACATCTGCTATCAGGGCCCATTAAAGTTTCCATCATCTTATAAAACAGCTACTACTTTGGTTCAATGTGTACCCACACAGCAGTCTGTTGGGGGCATTCCATATTTAAATCATAACAGACATGGTCGTCTACTAGACACCAACAACAAAAATAGAGCTACATCAAGATGATGAGGTCCTATGTTTTCAGCTCATCCTACATGGTCCATCCTTGTTCTGGTCCTCAGAGGACCTCAGGATATGAGACCAGAAACTTTTCTGGGAGGAATCTTGGGAGTCTAGGGAACATTGATACCTGTCTCCACTTCCCTTTTCTTGCTAGACTGGCAATGGGCCCTAAGGAACACTCTCTGTGAGGTTCTGTCCTAAGTAGGGAACACAACAGATAATACTAACTTACCCATCTAAAAAGGTTATTTGGTTATGTGATCCTGAAGGATGGTGCAGGCTGCTTTTTACGTTTCGTATCAGCTCTTCTGCAGATGAATAATTGAACAGTCTGGTTGAAGAAGGAATTACAGACTAAGACTTCTTGTTCTGGCAACTTGCTAAAGTCAACTCATTCCTGAGTCTTTCTTCTGTGCTGTCTGTCTCTTTAAATTTTAATCTTAATCAGACTTGCGTCGTGGATGTTGTAATTTTATCTACTGTCTATCAACATGACTTGCCTGTGTGGATGCTCCCTAAAGACTGTTTGCATACAATATATAATACTGAGTCTGCTCTTTTCTCTTCCTAACCAATGCTTCCTGTTGTATTCATCTATAATAGTGAAAAGCCTCATTTTCCCAGTTGTGAGCATCATTTCTTCACTTCACCTATCTTTGCCATATGGTCACATACCAATCTTCTCAATCTAGCCACTGCCTGTGTTATATAGAGTAAAGATCCTTTGTGTTCTGAATTTTATTTTCATTTGTTTTGTCTGAGCGGGTAGTTTCTGTCAAGTAATGGGTAAGTTGGTGTGTGTGTGTGTGTGTGTGTGTGTGTGTGTGTGTGTGTGTGTGTGTGTGTGTGAAGGAGGAAGAGGATCAGAAGAGAGAATCTGTAAGTGTGGGATTGTTTTTAAATTCCTGAAAGTAAAAATCAGTAAGATTTGTTGTCAGTTCGACATTTGATAGATACAAGGATGAAGATAAAAATCATGATACGCTGTTGAATGGTTATCTGTTTGTAGTTTGGCTTCAAATATATGACTCTAAAATCTAAAATAGATACATCACCCAGTGTAGTTCAGATAATTGATTCATAAGTCTGCTACATCAGGCAGGTTTTGATGATATCTTTATAAATAGGCCCCAGCTTTCAAATGCCTGATGCTATCTCCAATAGTGACATGAAAGGCATTTAGAGGTTGGGATGTGCCACCAATATATCGTGTATTCCAGACACAGATCAGGAGGCCCATTAACTACATATAGCATAAAGAGCTATTGTCAGTGAAATGTAACAAATTGAACAATAATACAGGGGATGCATTTATAATTATGTTTTAACTGGGGAATGTGGAATAATGTTTCAGTTGTCCAGAAATAGAAGTATGAGCCAATTTAATATACTTAGAGCAAAATCAAAATGAAAACGCATGAAAGGGTTAGAAAGTCTGAAGACATAGACATGAGGGCCTGCTGCTAATTTTGGTTTATTGTCCAAGCTCTAATGTAGAATTCATACTTTTAAAGATGATCCAATTCAATACCCTTTAATGAAGACATGATGTTTGTATTTACTTTCATTACTTCACTACTTTCTTCCTTTTTCTTTTTTTCCTCACATTATCCCATCAAAGAATGGGCGTTGGTGGCCCATACCTTTAATTCCAGCACAGGGAGGCCGAGACAGGTGGATCTCTGTAAGTTCAAGGCTAGCCGGGTCTACAGAGCGAGTTCCAGGACAGGTTCCAAAGCTACACAGAGAAACCCTGTCTTGAAAAACAATAACATTTTTTCCGATTTTATCATTTTGAAAGATATTTTTCTCAAATATGCTAACCCCATTTGTTCTCTTTCTTGGTTATGCCATTATTTGTCTGCCCTAAGACCTTCTACATTTTATAAGAGTTGGAATCATTGATGAATTGCCAATATTTAGTTTTAAAATATATGAAATCACATGTTTATATGCACATATCTTATGCATATACTTGCACATTTATGTTGGTTTTACTCTGCAAACATATGATTTTAATCCTTTTATTTTAAACATAATATTATTGAGTCTTTGGCAATTTCACATCATGGACCCCAGTTCCCACTCATGTACCAGTCCCTCATATCTGCCCTTCACCTGGGTCTTCCTGATCCAGAAGATGCTGTCTCTGCTCTCCCAATACTCTCCAAAACCCAAGAGAGCTCAAGCCAGCAGCCTCTACCTTAGCAAAGCGTCACATCTACACCTGAAACCACACCGAAAGGGTGTAGCTACTACTACAAGTTCACTGGCAAGGCAAAATGCCCACTACAGTTCACCTTTACAGTGGCTCTGCCAAGGATGACTTTAAAAAAAGAAGGTAGAAATAAAATAAGAATATTAATTTAGGGGCTGGGGAGATGGTTTAGATGTTAAGAATACTGACTGCTCTTACAGAGGACCAGAGTTCAATTCCCAGAACCCACATGGCAGCTCACAACTGTCTGTAACTCCAGTTCCAGGAGATCTGACACCCATGACAAAACATCAATCACATAAAATAATAATAAATTTTTAAAAGAATATTATTTTAAAAACAAACAAAAACCAAACAAGCAAAACAAAACCAAGCAAACAATCAAACAGCAAAGAAACCAACAAAGCCCTGCTTCTCTGCTCTCTTTCCATCCTTTCCCTCACCTCTTCATTAGTCTTCATGGCATTGGGAGCTGCGGTGTATCATGTAGTTCACTTGCAGAGGTTCATTGTGTAGTGAGTTGTTGGTCTGCTCCAAGGCCTCTGGCATCTATCTGGTCCACCATCAATGCTGGACCCTCACTGATTCTCCTCTTGGATATCCTGCTGATGCCCTGAGTAATAGAGATCCTGCAGCTATGGTTCCATAAGGCCAGTCCCTTCACATGGTCCAGCAGGTCATGGATGGTTTTTAACCCATGGTTCACATGGGCCCCTGTGGTAACAGAGGCAACAGACATTAACACAGACCCAAAATGAATCATGACCATGTGATGGGGGAGGTCCTTCTGTGTATATGATTGTCTTATTGGACAATAAATAAAGTACTGTTTGGCCAATGAGGCAGCAAGTTAGGCGGGACTAGGAGTCAAGGAGGATTCTGGGAAATGTAGTAAAGAAGTGGTGATCCAGGAAGGAAGTGACATAGCAGAAAGACTCATATATAAATAAGGGCAAGAGGGAAGTCGTGCCCTTTTCTCTCTTCCTCCTGAGTCACCATGTGAGCCTGGGAAGACAGGACATTTCCACTGGCCTCCTATAAGATAAGTCTTATAAAATATATAGATTTATGATAATTAAGACTAAGCTAGCACATGAGAAATCCTAGTCTTTGACCAAGCAGCATTTGTACCTAATATAAGTCTTTGTGTGTTATTTGGGGCCCTAACTCGGCAAGGAGGACTCAGGCAGCCTGGCAGAAAGAGCCCACGTGGAGGCAGGGCACAGGTGGCTTTGGCATAAAGCCTTATTGTTACAACCATGGACCCAGACATGGCCATCAGCAAGAGTTGGTCCCAGTTGTCACAATGGCCCTGGGGAAGTAGGGCAGGTCTCTCAGACTGGAATGGGCTAGCTGCCATAGGGATACAGTGTTTTTAATTTTAAGAAGTAATTTCTTGAGAAAAACTTGTAGTTTATGATATGAAAGCCATAGCAACTCTTTTTAAAGCAGATTCATGTGTCATCTTTTTGGGGAATGTTAGCATGCATCTCCAGGTTGAGTTTGGTCAGCTTTTTGTTGTTTAGAATTACTGTTTAACTGAATTAAGGATCCGGACACCAACTTGTACCTATAATTTTAGCCTTTTAATGCATTTGAGTAAAGAAATATCCCTCATATTTTGTTTTGTTTGTATTCTAATATTTGAACATTTCTTTATTTAATAGACATCTGTCGGTCATATAGCACTTGTGAAGGTCAGAGGATGACTTGTGAGAGTTGATTCTCTTCTTCTATTATGTGGTTCCCTGGTTAGAATCCAGGTCACCAAGCTTGGTTGCCAGCACCTTCTCCCACTGAGCCATCTGGACATCTCTGTTATAATGAAGACTTTCTTCTGCCTCACCATCTCAGTAACTAGGAAGTATGGATAATTTTGATACATTGGTTTAATCATAATATTTACTTCTCATTTATTTCAGTGTTTTAGTATTTCTAACTGGAGCCTATGTCAGGAAACACTGTAGGATAAAACAACCTATTTCCTATTCTTTTTATTTATTGTTCTCATACGATATATATAAACAACAGACAACAGTTTCTTCTCCCTCCCTCCCCTACTTACCAGATACACTCCAGATCTGCTCCTCCTCTTTTCTCTTCAGAAAAAAAAGCAGGTCTCCAAAGGATAGCAACCAAACACAGAATAACAAATTTCAACAAGGCTAGGCACATTCACTTATATTAAGACTGGACAAGGCAACCTAGGAGGAGGAAAATGGTCCCAAGAGCAGGCAAAAGATTCAGAGATAGTCATGCAACTGCTGGGAGTCCCACAAGAACACCCAAGTTACACAACCATGACACATATGCTGAGGACCTAGCTTAGACCCATGCAGGCTCAGTGATTGATATTTTAGTCTCTGTGAGCCACTGTGAGCCTTGCTTAGTTGATTCTGTGGTGTTCTTAACTCCTCTGACGCTTACCTCTTCCTTCCCCTCTTCTGTGGGGTTTCCTGAGCTCCAAGGCAAGGGACCTGATGAATATTTCTAATTTTGGTTCTCTCTACCTAATGTTTGGCTGTGGGTGTCTGTATCTGTTCCCATCGGCTGCAGGAGGAAGCCTCTCTGATGAAGATTGGGATAGGTACCAGTCTATAAGCATATCAGAATATCATTAGGAAGAATCTATTTCAATGAAAGAAAAAATGGGGAAAAATAAAATAATAGAATTTCTAGCAGAAGCCAGCATCAAATATAAATTATATACTTAATAAAATAAGTTTATGGAATATGAAAGTAATCACCATGTGAGTCTATTCCATATTCTGGCCATTGTAAAAATTGTTACAATGAAAATGGAAGAGCAGATATCACTGCAAATTACTCTTTTATTTTCCTTTGGGTCTACACCTATATTTGTACTTACACGGGATCCATGTTTCATATTGTAGTATTTTGATTTTTAAACATCCCCATAGTTATTTTCACATCTCTGGACTAATTAACATTTTATTAAATGTGCAGATGGCCCATATTTTCAAATGTAAATAATTTATGAACTTGAACATAAGCCTATACTCAAAGAGACTTAAAGATGATTTTATATGTTTAAAAGATATTATTTGTCTAGTTATGGATTATTCTTAGTGAGCCTAAGAACTATCTGAAAAGTCATAATTGTATTGACATGCAGTGATAAGAAGCCTCATCACTCTCTGAATCTTCAATTCCTTTCTTGGTAGCCTTGACCTTTGTCTTCACTGTCCCAGAATCACTGACATTTCCATGTCACCATGATGACATCTAGTTATTTATTCCTCCATGAAGGAACATATGTTTAATATGAAGCTTGTGTTTATTAATAAAATGAATGTTATATTCAAAATGATGAAAACAAATCTATTTGGTGGCTCGTGCATTTGAAAATTATGAGGGATTTTTCCTTTTCCTATGAAATAATATCTTGTCATGATACATTATATTTCAAATTTATGGTGTGCCTTTTTTCTTTGAGAATTTAAAATACTTTAAATAATTTGGGCTTTGCCTGATTCCTCCAGAATTGTAGAGTATGACTGATAACTGCCTTTAGAATCTCTAATAGCTAAATTACAATTATTATGCAAAGCCCTACAATAGACAGTTATATGGATTGTTAAATGACTTTGCCTTTTTTGCAAACTATAATCATTTTCCTTTATTAGCTGAAGGATTTTATAATTTAAGGAAGATGAGAAACCTATAAGTCACGCTTTCAAATAAGGAACAAGGATATTGCAAACATTAAATTCCCCCATAAAAATGTTAAGGCATCATTAAACTAGGTTCAGATTAATACAATTCAGTCAACTCTAGATAGATATCTCCCATAATCAGCTGAAACAAAACCTAGTGATCTAAGATGTAAAATATTTTACTACAGCCAATTTATAAACCTATAAAACATACAGGTATCATTCAACCTCTTTATTAATAGTGCATGCCTTGTATTAAATCAAAACCATTTTAAGGACCCCTCCCCTTTGGTGATGCCTTCCTCAGCTGTTGGCTCTCATTATGCATTATGTCACTGAGGCTCATCCACAATGAATGACAGCACCCCCTTTTCACTAGAAGCAGTGAAGGCTATTCCAGGCCCAGTGACAGAGCTTATCATCCTTTGAGATTTATAGACATATTTTCTACCCACAACTTATAACACTTCATGGCTAATGTTGATGTATTTGTTTTTCCTATAGATAGAAGCTTTTTTTCACATTGAAAATTTGAAACTTAATTTTAAAGTGTTTCAAGTTGTTTCACTGGTGAACTATAGTCCCAAGAAAATGTTACTGGAGCATCTTCAAGTTGTAGAGATAGATATTGACTCTGCCTGGAGGCTGTCTTATTGACCCTGTTTTTCTTCAGTAAGAAAGCTGTATGTCTCATGTTGAGTGGTTTGTTGGAGATTTTAATGAATTACCATTTCTTGTTAATTTACCACCAAGAACAAATTCCATATAATATCAATGTGTATCACAAAATAAAGTCTGGAATTAGGAACAAATCCAATGGGGGCAAGTAATTTCAACTCTACCTGGAATTAGCAGAGATTCCAAATGTTGGAACTTGCAATCACCAAGTTTACTCATAAAGCTACTGGGTGTATGGTCACAGATTCCACAGGACATCCTAGTGTGGTACTACTGGGCAGCAAAGTGTGTGTTGACCAGAAGACCCTAACGCAGAATCCCCAAAAGATAGAAAAAATATGGAGGTCTGTCTATCTAACAAGGATTTGCATGTTATATTTTCAATCATCCTATTTTTTGAGAGTTCTAACACAGACCCATTAACAATGCCCAGGGTTCGGGGGGAAATGGGAACATTTTAGTTTGATAACAAAAAATAAATAAATAAATAAAATGAGACGGGTAGTTTCAATGTTTTAAAGCTGTCTCATTGTCCAAAAATGTATCAAAATAACACCTTAAATAACATTCTAAGAAATAACCAATCATTATTTCTAAAGGAATATCACTTAAAAAACTTTGAAAATATAAGACCTTGTTCTTATCATGACATTTCAGATATTGTTCATAATAAAATATGTCATTATAAATTATTTACTAAGAGATCAGAATCTAACCAGGAAATGTTAAACATTTTGTAAATATTTAATTAAAATAAAGTTGTATCCTTTTGCTTTGATTTTTCAAAATATGCATTACAAATATGATTTTATATAATATTTTTGACATTTCATGTACTTTTATTTCATATATATATGAAATATATATATAAGTGTCTTCCTGAATATATGTTTGTGCAGCTTCTTCAGAGGTCAGATGAGAGTGTCATATTCCCAAGGAAACAGAGGCAGAAACAGTTGTGATCCTCCAAATGGGTGCTGTGAATTGAACCCAGTTCCTCCAAAAGAGCAACCAGTGCTCTTAACTCTTGAGTTACCTCTGAAGACCCAAAAGTCATACCCTTAATTGGAGAAACCTCACTTTGAATGATCATAAATAAAAAGTACATTGATGACACATTAAGTAATTTGGAAACTATTTAAACATAAACATTGTCATATATTTCAAAAACAATTGTTATTATTGTAAGGTAAAATCATCTCCAAAAAATTTCATTTAGCTATAAAAATGATTTTGAAGAATGAGAAGAAAATCTCTGAAAATAAGACTATTAAGGCTGGATAGATGGATCAACAGTAAAGCATGGCTGTTTCTATTACAGAGGAACAGAGTTCAAATCCTAGCACCTATATTCCTTAACCCAGAGCCACATGGGACTCGATCTCCAGGGATCCTATTCTCTCTTCCAGCTTCCATAAGTACCAGCATTCACATATACTCATAAATACACACACATGTACACACACACACACACACACACACACACACACACACAAACTGTATAGTGTTAACATATAGTTCATGTGTAATATACACAGCCAATATCAAATATATAACATCAATAGTGCTAAATAAAAGATCAATAAAATTCCTAAAAATAAGTAAACACAAAGTCCAACTTTGAATTTTCTAGAAATCCCCAAGTGAAATTTGCTTCCCACTCTTGTTGACAATAGGAAGTTTTCACTTTAAATTAACACACATATCAATCACAGAACCTGTGTGTCATGTCTTCCTACACAGATAGAATATGGCATTTACCAGTAGAAATAAATTGTGCCATCAGCAAGAATTTAGTACAGCAAACATCATTGTCCACCTTATAAACTAGAAAGTTAATGTGGAACACACTGATTTCTAGACAGTAGTCATTTGACCAGTAGGTAAGAGATCAGTTAAGAGTTAAGGCAAGAAGATAAAATACAAGCAAACAAACAAAAGGAAAACACTGTAAGAATGTCTGAGGAAAAGTTATTTGGCTAGATCTGTCAGAGATTTTTGCAGCTCACATTCAAACCCACCAGAGTGCAATTACCAAAGATCAGTCACACACGATAAGATGGCCTTATGCAGAAGAGTGAAATTAGAGCCATCGCTATCACCTTGCACAAAATTTAAGGACAAATGGCCCAAAGACCTCAATTTGAAACCTGAAACACTGAACTTATAGAAGAAAATACAGGTAGTATCCTCCAAGATATAGTTGCAGGAAAAGACTTTCTGAACAGGACTCCACTTGCCCAGGAATTAAGGCCATCAACTGGGCAGTGGAACATAATATAACTGAAAAGCTTCTGCACAGCTAAAGAATTAAGCCAGCAAAGAAGAGATTCATAGAGTAGGGGAGAATCTTTCCCACATATCCATCTGATAGGGGAATAATATCCAGAATATTAAGACAAATAATGAAGCAAATAAAAGACCCAATTAAAAAACAGGTCATGTATCTGAATAGAGAATTCCCAAAATAAATTAAAATGCCCAAAAAACATCTCATAAAACTTTCATCTTTGGAAGCAATTAGGGCAATAAAAATCACAACTACTTTGAGATTTCATCTCACACAGGTCAGAATGACGAGGACCTACAAAACAAAACAACCTAAAACACATGCTGGAGAAGATATGTGGAAAGAGGAACTCCTATTCACTGTTGGCAGAATTGCAACCTGGTGCAGCCAGTCTGGGAAATCAGTGTGGAGATCTCTCCAAAAGCTAAAATTAAATATGCCACATAAGCCATTTGTACCACTCCTTGGCATATGGCCCAAGGAACTTGATTTCCAACTTAAAAGATACTTGCTCAAACATGCTCATTACCCCTCTATTCATAGTGTCTAGGAAATTGAAACAACCTAATTTCCTTTAACTGATGGATGCATAATGAAAATGTGTTACACACACATACACACACACACACACACACACACACACACACACACACACAATGGAATATTATACAACTGGAAAGAAAAATGAACCTGTGACTTTTGTAGGTGAATACATTGAACCGGAGCAATTATAGTGAATGATGTGATGTCAGATTTTTAAGAAGCAATAATATCTCACAGTACGCTTCCTAATATGTTAAATTGTAGCTTATGCTGAGTGAGCTCATGTCTGTGAATTCCCTTCTTTGGGCTGTCTCACTCCATTCTAGCTTACCATCCTCTACTTACAAGCTTCTGCTGCCATGGTTCCCAAGCTCCTGTTCCCACACAGTAACCAAATAGGAGTATGTCATTGCCTATATCTGAGCATTATTTCTCTAAGACCCAACCATAATAATCAACATTTTGTCGAATAGCTTCAGAGTGGATGATAATGGATGGAAAAGTACAGTAAGGGCAGCCAGTACTGTCATACAGAAGGTCTACCATTGTCTCAGAAGGAAATGGTAGCCCATGAGATTTTAATAGGTTTGTATCTTATACAAAAACAAATTATCCTTCACAGTAGCAAGGCCTTGAAAGTTGTAAATCAATCATACTGGTTAGTTATTGTCAAGCTGACACAATCTGGGAAGAGAAAACTTCTATTACAGAATCACCACCATCACATTGGACTGATTACTAATGGGTGTGGGAGAGCTCAAATCACTGTCAAAAGTACAATGAGCTGGATAAAAGTGCAAGCAGATGAGCTTAGGTGTATAAGGAAGGTGACTGAGCAAGTCACAGTGAGCAAGCCGGTGAGCAGCATTCATCTGTGGTTTCTGCTTCAAGCTCCTGCACTGGCTTTTTTCCAAGATAGCATAAAACTTATAAGATAAAATAAACTCTTTCTTCCTGAAGTTGCTTATGATCGTGTTTTTTATAACAATAATAGAAACCATACTGCATATGCTTTATTCCCCCAAATAAACTGAAATAGATAACTTGATTATAAAGGATCTTAGTCCTATTCATGAAGTCCTTTGTGAGCAATGTCTCTGGGACTACAGAGAGGATGATCTTCACTGTCCACCTGTCTGAATTTGGAATCACCTAGGAAACACAAAACTGTGCAAGTCTGTGAGGGTGTTTCTCTGGATGCCTCACCAAATAGGGAAGACCCACCCTAGACTTCTGGTGTCCCAGGATCAATAAAAAGAAAATAAAGGAGAAAGTCAGGTGAGCGCAAGTGATCTTCTCTCTCCCAGTTTCTTGATTGGTGACACAGTGATGCAGTGTGATCAGGTGCTTCACACTCCTGTCATCATGCCTTCCCTGGATGATGGACTATATCCCTTAAAACTGAAAGCCAGCAAAAAAAAAAAATCCTTCCACTAGCTTGAATTTGCTATACATGTTTTCTTATATTTTATAGCTATAAGATAATAACTAATTCATACAACACAACTTTTTCATTATTGCATCAGCTGTAAAATATTTATGCATGGACAGGCAATTTTACACATACAACACTAAATCTAAATCATGTTTTTAAGTAAAAGTCTGTTTATCATGAAGTCACTTTAAAATTAATAAGTTATGCCCCACAGTGTATTAGTTGTATGAATATCTGTTTGTTTTACTCAGAAAGATGAAAAAATATAAAAGTGAGCCACACACTTTTAATAAAACAACATGTGCAGAGTTTTCTCAGGAAGGCATAGGGGACAGCTCTCCACTGATACACCAGAGTGTTTGCTTGTACAAGAAGTGAAAGTTTATATGGGAAACAATGTGAACCAGACATAACCAAAAGACAAGTTACATATTCTAAAATTCAGCTGTGATTCATTTCACTTATTTTATACATTACCCCCAAATCTATCTTTTAATTTTATGAGTTATATTAGTCATCTAAGTGTTTGAGACTCTCTGATGGACCAAGTCCCCTGGATTTATTACATGTCCACTAAACAGATTTCCTTCTCTTTCCAAACACATTATTGATCAGTTTGGCCATTGATTTGGACCCACTGGGTCTTCTCTTCTCCTTGTGTTTGAAGATCATCAGAATGTCCTTGATGAGTCTGAGAAACATCACCTCAACCTCCAGGGACTGCTCTGCTGCAGACAGCTCACAGAATTGGCAGCGGAAATCTATGGCCAGTTTTTGCCCTTCATCCCAGCCAACTTCTCGCATGTGGCAGAGGTCTTGCTTGTTTCCAACTAAAACCACAGCTGGTTCCACCATCCTGAAACACAATGAGTAACTTTTTCAAGATTGTTCCAACAATTCTAAAAAGTAACCTAAGTTTATATCCAATGGACAAAAAGTCAAAAGTAAGTCCTGGTAGATATTATATCTATGACCATGGCCATGTGTATGTATAGAAACACATATTCCCACGGCTACAAATCACTTTCCACGTAATGAAATAATAACACAAACAAGGTTCTCAAAGTTTAGTTTGCAGCAGAATATACATATTCATGTCTGGATAGGTATAGTAATCAGAGATGGCTATCATCTTCCCCCAATTTGTCTCTTTATGTGCTAAGCAAAATAGGGAAATAGTCCCCACCACAGAACCATAAGGTTCTACCCAACCCAAAGTCCAGAAACATGAAGACATGTGACACAGACTGGACAATTGAAACTGTGAGCCAACATACATCTGCCATGCTTAAAATTTTTCTGCTTGGTACAGTGTCACACCCAAGCAAAAGTAACTAATTTAACTGTCATTTGAAGATGCTGTGTTAAACCCAGGCAGCAATGTACAGTAATAAGATTGGCAGCTTTAAGCCTGACTCAATTATACCATCATCCTAGACTTTATCAGGCAACACTGAGAAGAATCTATGTAACTCCTCACATCAGCATTTGTACCAAAATGAACACTTTGAATGAGAAATACTGAAACAACAAAAGTAGAGGAAATTAAACTAAGAATCTCAAATACCTAAGTGTTTCATTAATAGAGAAAAAGTCTCTAAATACAGTCATCTTCCTGCATTGTTCTTTGCCAAGACACTTAACAGTGGATTGTTGACAACATTTTTATCTCAGGAGGTAGAGTGAAGAAAAATATATCTCCATCCTTACCACGTCTGGGTGGTTGACTATTTAGTCTGTGTCTTGCAGTGACATTCTGAGAAACCAGTAATGAGGAACTGGATTTCACAGGATACCAAACTAATAAATCTGGATTTATTTAGGATCCTTAACACCTTCGTGAGGAGGAAAAGGAAAGGTGGAAGCGTGACGTATCTGCCGTAGAGAGGACCATTACTATGCTAGTGAGTGTCATGTTAACAATAGAAGCTGTCTTGTAAAATGGCCATTTACTCGGGGCAAGGGACTGTTTATGTCAGCCAGGATATAAAGCATTCTCATCTGACTCCTTTTACTACGTGTGTAACTCCTGTGGAATAGGAAGGTGAATTGTTCAGGGCTGTTAAATTTTGTAATTGGAAGTCTGTATTAAATTCTTCCTAATGATGCTCAGGGCAAGATGATGATTTACTAAAATGGAAAGGAGATGGGAATGAAATGTCTTCTTACCTTTTACAATGAGAAGTCGGTGGCTCCCGAATTCTGTAGATAAGGGCTTTGGCGAAAGCGAAGGAAGGCCTGTCACTGATGTCATACACAATCACAAACCCATCTGCCCAGTGCAGCTCACTTGTGAGCGGGCATTTTGCTTTCTGTGGCTGAAAATAAACCAAGCACATTCAAGTGTAGTTAACTCTCAGCTGCGTCCTATGCTTCAGTTAACTAGTAGTTACCTATTTCTCCCTGGGCAAGCCTTCAGTAAGGCCAAATAACAATAATTTCTACGGTGCGCTTTCATTGTTCTGTTTCTTTCTCATTCTTGTCTTTCTTAAACAAACAAAAACCTTTAATGGTTATTTTCATCTCACTTTACACCTTTTTTAAAAAGTATTTATTGTTTTCTAAAAATTTGATATGATGCCTGTTAAATTAATATCCAGACATTTGTCTTGAAAAAAACATGACATCTGTGTTAATTAATGGGCTACCGATTTTTTTATTTTTGTGTGCCTGTGTGTACTTGGATGTGTGCAAGCATGTTCAAATGTGAGTGTCAGTCATCACATCCTTAGAGATGCAAACGTGTAGAGGTCAGACAACAACTTCAGGGGGTGGTCCTTCTTGTTCCACCTTGTTTGGGACAGGGCTTATTTAGGGACAACAGGCTGGCCTACACACAAACTTCCTGTCTCTTTACATCACAACAAGGGAGTGCTGGGATTATGCATGTCTGCTACAGTGCCTAGCTCTACATGGATTCTAAAAATCCAAACTCAGGTCCTAATGATTGCATGGCAAGTACATTATGCAGTGAGTCATCTCGCCTACCTAGAGTATCTGTTTATTTGCAACAGTAGATTCAAACCTACGGAAGTGAAAAATTTATAAAGTTTATGTTTATAGGATAATTTAGGGTAAAATACTTAATAAATCAATAACTTGTTTTGAAATCTTAGAAAATTTTTAAGATGAGAAGATATTTTGAGAGATAATAATGAGAAGATTATTTTGATATTTTGGCATATGAACTAGATAAAGAAATTTATATTCAAAATTTGTCTTATGCTCTATTGAAAACTGGTTACAAATGTAGGTGGTTTAGTGAAAATATAAAAACTGAACTGACAAACCATTGTGCCTTAATTTCTGAGAGCTACACTATGAGCTCACAGGAATATATTTGACCACTGCTATTTTAAAGATTTGTTTTAATGGGCTGAAGAGATGGCTCAAAAGCTAAGAGCACTTTCTGCTCATGCAGAGAATCCATCCCAGTTGAGTTCCTAAACTCAAGCCCACTCACAGCTGTCTGTAATTCCACTTTCAGGTTATCTAGGTCTTTTTTTTTTCTCATCTTCCTGGGAACTTCATGCCCACGGTACATAATCAGATAAAGCACACACAAGCAAAACAGTCATGCACATAAAATAAAATCTAAAAGATTTTTTGTTAAGACTATTTTCAGGGCTCACTTTTATTGTTCATTAGAGGTATTTTTCTATGCTAACTTTTAATCAGAATTTACAGAGAATTCTAATAACACAATTTACACTAAAGGAAATGTCAACATTTTAAAAATTAAAATTGAGGAGAAATTTTATTATCATGTTGGCATTATTTTGCATATTCATAGCCAAGTTTCTTTAAATTATGCTTGAAAATAAAATAACACACAGGGTTTTGTTTGACTTACTTGAGAACATGGGTCATATATTTCCAGATTCAATGGTTTCCCTTCCAAACACAACTGCTTATTATAGATAGACTCTTAAAAAAAAACACATGTACTTATTGTCAGTATATGAAAAGTCCAGAATAAACACTCATTTGCAGTTGTTCTTGGTCTGCCAAATTCAACAAGTCATATTTCAAGCTAGTTTTACTCATGATTTATGTCTCTCTCTCTCTCTCTCTCTCTCTCTCTCTCTCTCTCTCTCTCTCTCTCTCTGTGTGTGTGTGTGTGTGTGTGTGTGTGTGTGTGTGTGTGTGTGCGCGAGCACGCATGCCTGTCTGTCTGTCTGTATGTGTACTATGTACTCATTATCAACATCTTATAAACATGTGAAAATGGTTCAAAGTTCAATAACTTCATACTATCCCTTGATCATGTATGGCTCGTTAGTTGAACTGCTATATTCAGTCATTAACAAAAATCTCAAATATTTTCTTCATATGGCATTCATGTAGCATGGTCTCTCTCTGTTTTAATTTCCTTTATTCAATGTCATGTTCTATGAGAGTTTTTAAAACTCATACTTCATCATTTTCCCATGCTCTGCATTTGGATTCAGTTCACTGTCTTACACAACTTTACAGGTATCAGAGTCCTGGGTATAATCTACCAATGGTGCTTGATCAGCTCAA